GCCTCCGCTCGCTCGGACCGGGAGGTGCTACCAGGGCTATTCAGGGCCACCTGGGGCCACCTGGCCGCGGTTCCGAGATCGGCGGGGGGCTGGCCTGGACTCGCCTGGACGAGGGAGGGAGGGGAGCGGCCGAGTTCGGGTCAATTAGAATGGGATTCGAGGCCGAGCGAAGGCGGCGTCGGCGCGGGAGAGCGCTGGAACTGGAAAGGGGAAAAACAAATTCCAACGCGCCACCGCCACCGGAGGGCCTCCTGAGCTCGACTCGACATCACAACAATGTAAACTCATAATGGACGTGTTTTTCATACGTCTAGCAAAGCGATTTGACGTAAGTTATATATCCGGGTAAGTAGCAGCAGGGGGAGGAGAGGGGGTGACCTTGGGGGTGCGGGACTGAGTGGACAAAGTGTTCGCTGGGAGAGAGAGCGAGACAAGGACAGATTGTATAAGTGCGTACGGAGGGAACGTGCCCCCCCCCGTGAGACTTGGACAAATGATATGCAGCCGGGCGGCGCTCGCTCCCCTGTGTGTCCCTGGGACCGACGGAGGGCGGCCTCATCGCTCAAGAGCGTGACTGCCTTTACTCACTTTATGCGCGCTGTTATACCGCCGGCTCCGGCTCTCACTTGTAGTTGTTGTTGTTCCCCACGGCGCCCAGTATGGCGGCGCCGTGCCCGTGCTGCAGCGCGGCCGGCACCAGAACGACCGCAGCAACAGCAGCACACCACCGCGGCCATGGAGCTAATCAACCGCCACCACCACCCTCCCCCCTCCTCCCCCCCCCTTTACAGTGTTGTTTATGGCCCCGGCACGGACCTTCATCCCTTCGCCGACTGCCTCACGCTATACAACACGTCCCCCGGGACGCAGACGTGAGATTCGCGCGCAACAACTTACGAAACTTCCGTTTCACGTCCCGCAGGGGGACTTGGATGGAGGAGAGCGCGCCCCGTGTTGTTGTGGCAGCAGCAGCAGCAGCAGCAGCAGCAGCAGCAGCAGCAGCAGCAGCAGCAGCGCCATTCGTGTCGCGCGGCGCTGTCTGTGCTGGCCTAGTGGCGGCGCCCGCCTGGCCGAGTCTCGCGGGACGCAACAAGCAGAGCGAGCCAACTATTGCAGACGGCCGCTCGCCTGCCCGCCCTGCCATTGTACTGCGTATATTTCCAAATAAAAACCGTCCAAGAAAACGCACGAGCGAGCAGTGCGTGGAGTACGGTATTGGGAGGGAGGGGGGAGTAGGGACGGGGCACTCCCGCTATATAAGCTTGCGAACTCCCGCGGGGGCTTGCGCGGCCATGGACGGGCAGGGCCAGGGCCGTTTGGGACACGATGTGCCCTGTGCCCAGCCCAGATGCCAGGTGGGGGTGGCCCCCGGTCCGGCCCGGCCAGTCCCGGAGCCCCTCGGCTGCTCTGAGCACCGGAGGGAGGGCCTCCGGGCGCCGGGCGCCAGGACACGCCGGCGTGGCCATTGGCACCATTAAGCTAAAGAGCCCCGCCTCACCCAGGGAAATAAAGGGTAAAGCTTTTTCAAACCAAAGGGGCGGCTGCCCCGCCCGCTGCTGCTGCTGTGAACAAGACAGGGGGTGCGGACTAGGGTTGCGACGGCCGGTAATGTTACCGGTAACGTTACCGGAAAAATTGGTAATTTACGGTAATTTACCAAAAGCTTGGTAACGTTGAAAAAA